ACAGCAAAACTTACGGGGGTTTCATTGTACACGTGGTATCGGGTCATCACTGAGAAACTAGAAAAGATGGGCAAGTGAAAAAACAACAGACCGCAAAGGACAGCCATGACTTCATGCAGCTTTCCCCTCAGCGTACGCCCTTTTCCAACGCACAGGCATTTGGCTAAACTTTACATCATTGTGGCTGGAACAAGACAGTTTGGGCTGAAAATGGGAACTCATAGGAGTCAAGATTTGGGAAAGGAAGGGCAAAGGAGGACCGGCCTTGGAGCAGGGCACGAGACTCAAAAGGCCAGCTGGGGTGGCCAAGGAGGGCCGTCCCCCAAGGTCACTGGTTCCCAGGGGCAGGTGACCCCCTATCATCACTTGCCTGGAGGGTGTCCCTGGACAGGAGAACTGATTCAGGCCATCAGTGCTTGGGTTGCCTTTTGCACTGGTGACCCCCTCTGCTGTGTTTGCTTTTTGTTGGAGGTACTTATCTACTCATAAAAACGTATGGCTCTCTCTCTACTCAAAGCACTTGAGAGGCTGTGGTTCAGCTGAAGTGACCTTGTAGGAAGTGCCTGAGCACGTGGCTGCCCTGGGCCCGGGTGGGCCGGGGACACGCTGGGGAGCGCACGTGCTGTCTGGTGGGCTGGCTGCTACTTCCCTCTGGCCATTCGTTACCATGTGGGCTCACGGGCTGCTTGTGACTACATTTCCCAGTGTTTCCAGAGAAATCAAAACCTACGCTTTTCATCGGAAGCCTTCTGACTTTTACATATCAGCAACCGTTTCACATTTCCCAAACAGCCAGCTGAGTAAAATCTAGTCAGCGGCTGCTACTTTACGACATAGAACCTACCTGTTCAGCCTTTGTTTTCTGTTCGGAACGAACTCCTTCAAAATAAGGAAACAATACAGAACCAACGGATGTGCTCTCCGTGGCCTCGGAGAGGTTCTTCACCTTTGGACGCCGTTCCGTGAGATTCAGAGCTGGCTGGGGGAAAACTTTTCTCTGCCTCTGTGTGCCTCACCTAAAGAAAGACCGGATTTCGGGACTTCCCTGGCGGTCCAGTGGGTTAAGACTCCGCGCTTCCACCGCAGGGGGCGCGGGTTCGATCCCTGGTAGAGCCAGGCCAGGCAGGTGAGGTGGGAGGACAGAGCAGGTGGGTGCATCTCCCGGGATCCCCTTCATCTTTCTTTTCTGTTTATTCCTTGCTTCCTCTGGGTTGCAGTTCACCTGATACTCTCCGTGTGGGAGTGCCCTTTGCTCCTTCTTTCTTATCTGCATCCAACTTTACAACTGTCTTCTCTCTTTTTTTAAAGATTTATTTTATTATTTATTTATTTATTTATTGCTGTGTCGGGTCTTAGTTGCAGCATGTGGGCTCTTCGTTGCAACACGCAGGCTCTCTCATTGAGGCGTGCAAGCTCCATAGTTGTGTCGCGCGCGGGCGTAGTTGCCCTGTGGCATGTGGGATCCCAGTTCCCTGACCAGGGATCGAACCTGCATCCCCTGCATTGGCAGGCGAATTCTTTACCACTGGACCACCAGGGAAGTCCCTCTTCTCTTTTCTTAGCTATTTGCTCATGGGACTCTTTTTTTTTTTTTTTGTGGTTTTGACTTTGAGATGTGTGATAAAGATTCAAGTGGGCATTAGAAGTTTAAAAATAATTAATAGTTTAATAGCTAGTCGTCTTCTAATTCTTTTTTTTCTTGAATCGTTGTCATCTTGTCAACTGAAAAGCTAAGAGTTTTTCAACTGGCCGGCATGGATTTCTTCAGAGCTTAGAACCGCTGTTGCGGAGGTCACAGAAACGTAGCAGATCTAGTTATGGCTCGTGAAGGATTTATGGTCTGGTTGGCAATAAGACAGACGAGTATATGACGTGCTACTTTTGTGGCTTTTATTGTAACCGTGGGCGGATTTAGAGGAGGAGAGAGTAAGGATGGGCAGGGGAGGTGGAAGCGCTTTCCCAAGGAGGTGAAATATTGGGGCAGGAGATGGAGTCAGTCTGCTTGATTTGGGGAGGGAGCACATCAGTAAAGGCTTTAGAGAGATTAAGCTTTATTGTGCTCAGTTTTTAAAGAGCAGATGAACAGGAAGCAGGAAGTGGAAGCTGGAAGTGAAAGACCATCCCAAGGAAAGGAGCAGGGGAGCAGAGGTGCAGAAGAGTTGGAGTGGACGGGTGGGTGTGGTTGGCGCTTTGACTGGTGGGCGGGGAGGAGAGATTGGATCCAGATCTTGGGGGGGGGTCTCCCCGCCCCCAGGGGCGCTGTGGGGAGTGGAACTTCATCTTGGGGGTGATGCAGGAGTCCCAGAGTGCTTTAAGCAGGGGAGTGACACGGTCACATTTCAGGGGAGCGTCTGCAAATTCACTCAGGCTGCCCTGCAAAGAGTGGTTGGAAATGGGTGGCAAGACCAGGTGGCAGGGGGGTGGCCTAGGCACATGATGGGACTTGTTTTGTTCGGCCTGAATGGTATTTTAAGCAGGTATTATGCTTGTTCACAGCGTGAGGGCTCAGCACCTGCCGTCTCACACACCCCAGCTTCCCACGTTTGCTACCTGCCTGGTGCCTGCAGGCATTTGAGTTTGTAGCCCTGGCAGTAAATTCTGATAAGACGGCACAGTGGCAGGAGTTGAGAGCACAAAGGACAATGAAGGCTCAACTGAGAGAGTAGATCAGCCTATGGGCAGGTGGAGTTTTTTTTTTTTTTTTGGCTACATGGGGTCTTCGTTGCTGCGCACGGGCTTTCTCTAGTTGCTGTGCGCGGACTTCTTATTGTGGTGGCTTCTCTTGTTGTGGAGCACGGGCTCTAGGCACGCAGGCTTCAGTAGCTGCGGCACACAGGCTCAGTAGTTGTGGCTCGCGGGCTCTAGAGTGCAGGCTTAATACTTGAGGTGCATGGGCTTAGTTGCTCCGCGGCATGTGGGATCTTCCTGGACCAGGGATCGAACCCATGTCCCCTGCATTGGCAGGCGGATTCTCAACCACTGCACCACCAGGGAAGTCCCAGACTGGGCATCTTTCTCTCTTTCTTTCTGTCTCTTGAAGCTCAGTGCAGTTCTTGCCTCACCCTAGGCACTCAGGAAACATCTGGACAGTATGGAACCCGTGAGTCCTTTCGTGAGTTCGCCTGGCTTGGGATACATGTGTAGGAGGGCGTGTCTCAGATTAGTAACGTCTGGAGCCGTCCGTATCTGGCAAGGAGAAAGTAATTAGTGAAAGAAAAGCAGAGATCGGAATGAATATGCTCTGCTGCCAAGCTCTTAGGATCAGAAAGGACCTATTCTCCTGAGTTAAAAAGGCATGGCTTCTAACTGTATCCAGCAGGTAAGTTTCTGCTTTGTTCCAGTGCACTGACATAGCCCTCTAAACAGTCCATCCTGCTAGAGAGTTGATCCGGAAGTTCTCAGTCTGCTCAGCCAGGAAGCGTAGATCTAACTCTCTCTATCCTCTTTCATGATAATTCCTGGATAGCTGGTGTTTCCATTCAGTGGAGAAAAGGAGGGTTGAATTCTGTTCTCATAACCACCCTCCGTGGACTGAGGAATTGTCATTTTGGATTACAACTGGGGTGTTTGGATGACAAATTAAAAAAAAAAAAAAAATAT